CCTGTGGTTTTTTTGGCTGTAACCTGTGAAAAAGCGTGTGGTTAAACGCTGGTCTCGACTCCTCTGACCCCTCCTGTCAACACAAACCCAAATTTATGCATACGGGAAGTTTTTCAGGTCAGCAGATGGTGACATCTGTAATGCTCTCAGTCTGTCTGGACCCCGTTTGCTGCCTCTCAGGGGCTGCATTTTTCATTAAAGGCCTCTTCTTAATGGTGGACGGCGTGGATTAGCCGGAGCTTAAACGGTTCCTGTGGGGAATCCTGCAGCTTCCTACTAGGCTTTAGCTAACTTGACTTTTTTCAACATTTTATGTCACAAATATAAAAAAAAAAAAGCCTGGCTGTCTTTATTTATTCCTTTGTTTTTGGCAGCACTTTGCCCGCAGCTGCTTTTACTCTCATGTGTTTTATTCATTAGAAAAATGGAGCCGAAAACAAAAAGCGGGACGTGAAGACGAGGCGCCCCACGCCAAAACTCGTAAACGGTTTAGAAAAACGGTCGCCAGCGCCCGGAGAAACGGCCCCGTTTGGCATTTCAGGCACTTGTGTAACGTCTCCCAGGGTTCGAGCGGCCTGGCGGAGCTCGTTAAGAAACCCAGAGCAGCGATTGGTCGAAGACGAGCCACCGTCTGCCGCCCAGAAAATATTTGGAAGTGAATCCCGACACAAAATTTGACACGTGAAACACAGTAACCGCAGAATAAAAGGAAGGAAATGCTGCTTCATTTGAAATTATCTGAAGCTGCAAAGAATCAAGTCAATAAAACTGCTTATATTAAAGTGTTCATTTCTGTTTGAGCACTATGGGTTTTTTCTTGTTTCTTTCTTGTTTTGCAGTCACAAAAACTACCGTGTCTTTTCACAAATCGTTAGATTTTACATGGAAAAAGTAACGATATAATCTGAATTTAATCGTTTCCTTGTTATTAATTTATCTTCTCAGAACGGGAGTCTGGAAATCCAGAGGAGGAGGAATCAGAGGTAAGATGGCCGAACACACAACGAGAACAAAGGGCTGTGAACACTGAATCTGACGTTTGTGTATCTGATGCTTTTCGTCTCTAAGGAGGCAGAAGGCGACGCCCCCCCCACTGAGCCGGAGGCTGATGAGGAAACGGGGGAGTCGCCCCCCCCAGAGGACCAAACCGAACCTCACACAGGTGCTTTTTCTCATGCCCCTAGCTCTCCACTTTACTTCTGACTGTTTTTGCTTTGTAAAGACACATGTTCCAAACATCATTCCCTGTGTCCGAGTCTGGAACTACCAAATTAACTCTAATATTTCCCTTCGCTTCATCTTGATTTCAATTCAATTTTTCAATTCAAAAGTTTATTTCAAACCTGCACACATTTCAGAACATACATAGTGACAAACAACACAAACGCATGGCTTGAAAAGGGGATGGAAGAAGCCGAAGCTTCTGCATGTCCAATCCCCTCCCGCTCATCCCAGGGACACTCACCAAGACCTGTAAAGAAAAAAACAAAGACAAGACAAACAACACATCCACACTCATGCATACAGGACACAGAGACAACCCACTGGCCCAATGCTCCCCTCCCTACACCACACCACCCTCACAGAACATCACTCACTCTCTTCCAGGTATTTACTCAGGACATTCCGCTTAAATATTTTTTTTAACCGGTTTATGTTTCCGCAACACTTATGTTCCTCCGCTAAAGTATTCCAGAGGGTGACACCACGACTGGAGATGCACATTTGTTTCAATGTAGTTCTTATTTTTGGTTTGAGTAATTGATTTTTGTAGTTGCGAAGTGCCTCCCGTTCCTGAAAGAGTTTTAAAACATTTTCTGGAAGAGAGCCAGTTGACACTCAACCAACTTTAAATTGGAAGATTGTAGAAACAATACATTTGTGGGATGTAAATAATTGACTTTATGAACAATTCGAATGGCTCTTTTTTGCAGTGTAACCAGGGGCTGAAGATTGGTCTTAAAGTTATTTCCCCAAACTTCAATACAATAATTCAAATATTTGATTCTGAATGAAGCAGAAATGTGAGAAATGTTCTGGTGTTGGATCCTTTTGCAGAAGGAGAAGCAGCTCCGGCCTCAGAGGTGCAGGAACAGCCCGACGACTCCTTAATGCTCAACATCCAGGCTGAGCAGGAGCCCGCCGAGCCCCAGAGTGCCAAGAAAAAGAAGAAGAAGAAGAAGAACAAAAAACAAGCCGAGACTCCGACGGCCGACCCTTCGAGCCCGGAGGACCCGGTCAGCGACACTCCTTCCGGCAAGAAGAAGAAAAGGCAGAAAAAGAAAGTCGAGGAGCTGCCCACAGAGGAGGAAAAGAAGCTGGAGGAGGAGGAAAAGAAGATGGAGGAGGTGCCAGAGGAGGAGTCTCAATTAGCTCAACTAGAGAAGAAGAAAAAGGCCAAGAAAAGGAAAAGGGAGAAGGAGGAGGTGGAGGAGAAGGAGGAGGAAGCTCCAGAAACCAAAATCAAGAAAAAGAAGAAGCTCAAAGATGAGGAGGAGCTGGAGGAGAATCCAGAGATAACGGAGGAGAAGACGACAAAGAAGAAGAAAAAGAGGAAGAGGCAGAAGGAGGTGCAGTCTGCAGAGCCGCCAGCAGAGGGCGACGGCGCGGACGCCACAGGTGAGAAAAAAAAAAAGGAGCTTCACGAACCTCCGAGAGACCGAATCTGTTCAGAGGTTTAAGTGGTTTGTCTGTGTCCAGTCAAAAAGAGACACCGGCTCAGGAAGAAGCTCAGCCTGAGGAAGAGATTACGACTCCTGAAGAAAGAGGACATGATGATGAGGAGGACGAAGAGCAGCAGCAGCCTCCCAGCAGGGAAAAAGAAGTCAGTGAGACCTAAAACTGCTATTTTTCAGTGCCTTTAAAAACATATTAAAACAGAACTAAAACCTCTCTGGTGCATTAATGAGGGCAAACTGATATTTTTGGTGTTTTTTTTACACAGCTAAAGAATTGGGAGCAAATGAGGTGTTTTTGTGACATTTGTGCTAACAAAGAGCAAGAGCCTAAAGATAAAATTGTACATTATGGGGGTGACTAAGACCTTTGTAGACTGTGCAGACCATCATTTGAAGTTCTATTTGAATGTGTGTCAGTAATATTTAATATTTACAGTTAAGATAATTTACTGGTGTAATACATTTTTATTGTACTTGGATAATATGTAATATTGTACTGTGCAGGACACAAATCACCAGGAATATGTTTCAGATTTCAGAGACTCACAGTTTTCCCTTTTGAATTCGTTATTTTTCAGACAAAAACAGATCCAGGACGAAACAGAAAAGACGACACAACCAAAACCGGCCCAAAGAGAACCAGCCGACCTCGTCCAGGAAGGGGACACCCCCAAGAAGAAGAAAAAGCTGAAAGTCAGCACGGAGCAGGAGGAGAATTCATCAAAGGAAAACCAGCCTCCGAAAGCAAAGAAGAAGAAGACGGCCCCGAGCGCCGAGCCCCCCGAGGAGGACTCAGGTCCGCTTTCAAACGAGGGGAAGAAGAAGAAAAAGAAGAAGAAAATGAAAGCAGCTAAAGGTGAAGAAGAGGAGCAAAGCTCGGACCCGATCACTCTCAACCAGCTGCCAGCTGCCGCCGAACCAAGTCTGAGCCTTTCCTTCTTCATTTTGGGTTTTACGGTTCATTTCCCGGTTTAAAAAAAAACAACAAAAAGTAACACTTTGTGTTTTCTGACTGATTTCTGACAGAGAAGAACAGATCAGAGGGTGGAGGACTGGAGGAGATGGAGTCTGCTGCCCCTCCAGCTGTTTCTGTGGTGAGAAACATCTGCCTCCGCTTTATCTGAACAAACGAGACCCGATAAGGTAGAAAGAAAGAGACGGTTGTTACGGCAACGAGTCCAAACTCGGAGGAGCAGCAGAATGTTTCGATAAAGACCCGATAAGACACATTAAACCAGCATTTAACCCTTTAAAGCCTGGTCCAAGAATAAAACAAAAAAGAAAATGACTTTTTTTTTTGTTTTAATTATTTAACAAAATATGTAAATAGAAAAAACAAAAATACATTTTTATTATTAATAATTTATTACTATGCCATAAGTTAAGATCTTTTTTTGTGTAGTCTTGTGTGTAGTCTTTGGTTTTGAGTCTTTATTTGGCCTTTAAACAAAATATGTGAAAAGAAAAAACAAAAATAAATTTTTAATATTAATTTATTACTATGCGATAGGTCAAGATTATTTTTTGTGTAGTCTTCTGCCCCCTGTTATCAGGTGTATCTGGTTGTGGACAATAGGTTTTGGAGCGAAGTTCTTACCATTGAATTATGCAAAAGGTGTCAGACGCAAAACATTTCAGAAACCGTATGTATCAAATATGATACGTTTGGCATTACAGGGTTAACTGTCGCTCCCTTTTTCCACAGAAAAAGAGAAAGTCCTCAAAGAAGAAGACGACCTGAGCCATATTCGGGGTGAGTGGGAGCACCAACTGGCCCAGAAAATGCTTTTTCCACGCGCACGTCTCGGCTTTGGGGTGATTAATTATGTTTTTTTCTTCCTTCCTACAGAGTTTGATCTGGTCTGATGTCGCTTCCTGGACCTGAAAGCCTGAAAAGAAAAAATGTTTGTGCCTTTTCTCCTGATTTCTGAGGGATCATCCGTGTTTAGTTTACTTTAGTTTTTTTTTTGTCCTGAATACTGTGAATACAACATGACACACCCACAGTTTTGCTCCAGTCAAATCACATCTGTTCATTTTTAGCATGTTTAGTAGCTTTTTTTTTTACACTGTGAAGTTCAGTTTATGCCTGTCTTTAACTGGAAGCCTCCCCCATCTTTTTATAGTTCTCGTCGTACAAAACACCAATCTCTAAGCTCACCTTTGTCCCGTTCTAGGATCTGATCTTAAAACATCAAAGATGGAAACATGAGGTTTAATGGGACATTTGAGCTTTGCTGGAAACACTAAAACAGAGTGTTAAACTTCACTTTTCTTTAAGGGAACAAGCTGGTTTCAGAGGCGTTTGGTGATGGTGTGGAACAGTGTTACTGCTGCCTGTTTACAGTCATTCTTTAAGCTGTGATGTTTTTTTAAAAAATGGTTTTAGTTTTTTCTTTTTCATCAAAAGCTCACCTTTAAAAAAAAAAAAAAAAAAAAAAAAAAGAGCTTAGTCCTCTTAACCTGCACCGAAGCACCGCCCTGTTTACAGTCTGCAGGCAGAAGGAGGAACGTTACCGGGTTCTGCTGTTTCTTGAACATGAATTGTTCATTTGAGGTGAATCGCTCCAATAAACGTGTTCGCTCGAGCTCAAAACCTGGTCTGAGTCTGTTTTTCCAGCCCAGCGGGTGGCAGAACTCACCCAA